TTATTAATATTGCCAATAATAAGAATGAAAACAGCTGACATTTATTAGGCACTTCTTATATATCACACCTGCAAGGCAGATTATATGCACTTGACACTCATAATAATCGTGTGAAATAAGTAACAATTTCATCTTATTTTACAGGCCAGGTGACTTAGCTATAAAGAGGTTAAGTAATTTGCCCAAGGACCCACAGAGTGTTAAGGCTAAGATTTGAAACCGGGCAGTCAAATTCCAAAGCCATAATCACTAACTACACTATACTGTCTCCCATACCTTTAAAAAAGTTCACAGCCATAGGTTTCTACTGTGGATATAACTAAGTATGATCTTATTAGACCCAAACCTCCTGCAGCTAACAAATATAAGTTATGTACAAATATAAAAAGAAAGAAAAGAAGGGAGGAAGGAAGAGAACAAAAGGAAAGAAAGGAAAAAGAAAAAACCTTAAGTTTCTGGAAAGTAAACAAAAGCCTGAAAAATCTGGAGGGAATTTATACTTGGAAGAAGAGATTTCCATTTTTACAACTTCCAGCACAAGAACAGACCAACATCAACACGTCATAAACCAGCTAACTCCAGTAGAAAAGCTACAGTCTCTCTGGTCTAAAGAATAAAAGAATAAAGTTCAGGGCAACTACAAGTGCTGGAAAATAAGGGTCAAAATTCCATAAAAAAGAGAGACTGAGAGGGAGCATCCCAAATTCTATATATAAACTCTGCTCAAGTCCTGGGCTAATCCTTGAGCCATGTAGACCCAGAGAAGACTCAAAGCAGCCAAGCTACATACAAAAGAGCTGAACTGAGTTTGGAACTGCCACCTAAGAGATAGAAATTACACTTTGATGCCAACCAAGTTAATTACCAGCTAAAACTAAAACCTCAACTCTCTTTGGAGAAATATAACAGAATTCAGAGCCTCTACAGAATTACATTCACAATGCTGAAGTAAATTCAAAGTTACTCAACATATAAAGGACTAGGAAAATATGACCTAGTCTCAGGGGTAAAAAGACAAAGAAAATTAACTCTGAGATGGCCCAGATGTGTGAATTAGCAGACAAGGACTTGAAAGTTACTATTATAACTATGCTAAGCTGAATGTTCTAGAAAACATGCTAACAATGAATAAAAAGGCAGTTAATTTCAACAGAAATATAAGAAACTTTATAAAGAACAAAATGAAAATTATAGAATGGAAAACTACATCATCTAAAATTAAAAAGGAACCCTTGCTGGTAGAACTTTCTTCAGAAGAATAATTCTTTCTTTTTTTATAATTTCTTTTGTTTACTTTTCCTGATAACTAACCTTAGCTACCTAACTACTTCTTTTTTGAATGTTCAATGCCTGACTCTAGTACTTGTGACAGGTATAATCTCTGTGGTATGAATCTTACCTTAATCTTATTCTACTACTTTGACCAATATTCCTGTCTAATTTGGCCTAACTCTGCTTCCCTTCTGTGGTGGTTTTAAAAGATGTCCAAATTACATGCCATCCTTCTTCCAAAAAGTAGAGCCTGATTCCCTTCCCCTTGAAAATGGACTAGATTTAAATATTCACTTATGATAAATAAAATATGGCAGACGTGGCTGAGTAATTTCCATGACTAGGTCATAAAAGAAATTGGGACCTTTTCCTTTGTCTCTAGAGTCACTTAACTTGAGGAAAACCAGCTGTCCATGTCTTGAGGACATTAAGCAGCATTATGGAGAGGCACTTGGAAAACATCTGAGTCCTCCTACCAATAACCAGCAAGAGGTCTTCTGCCAATAGTCATGTGTCCCCCCAGACACACACACACACACACACACACACACAAATATGTTGGAGTCTTAACCTTCAGTACCTAAGAATGTGGCCTTATTTGAAGATAGTCTTTACAGAGGTAATCAAGTTAAAATGAGATCATTGAGTTGAGATCTAGTCTAATATAACTAGCGTCCTTATAAACAAGGAGAAATTTGGACACAGAGACAGGCACAGAAGGAAAAAGATATGTGATGATAAGGGCAGGGATCAGGGTGATGCCACTACAAACCAACAAACATCAAAAATTGCCAGCAGCTAGGCCCGTGTGGCTCAGTGATTGAGCACTGACCAACGCACCAAGAGGACACCGGTTTGATTCTTGGTCAGAGCACATGCCCAGGTTTTGGGCCTGATTTACAGTGGGGAGCATGCAGAAAGTGGCCAATCGATGTTTTTTCTCATCAATGTTTCTATCTCTCTCTCCCTCTCCCTTCCTCTCTTTCTAAAATCAATAAAGAAAAAAATTTTTTTTTACATTGCCAGCAAAACGCCAAAATCAAGGAGTGAGACACATTACAGATTCTCCCTTGCAGCTCTCAGAAGGAGCCAACCCTGCCGATACCTTGAAGCTTGTACTTCTAGCCTCAGTAATTGTGAGACAATAAATTTCTGTTGTTCTAAACCCTCCATTTTTTGGTCTTTGTTACATCAGACCTTGGAAATGAATATATTATGTAAATGAACCATTTTAGAAGCAGATCATCCAGTCCCAACCAAGCTTTCAGATGGTTGCAGCTCTGATCATTATCTTGACTGCCATTTCTTGGGACACTCTGAGCCAAAACCACCAGCTAAGCTGCTCCTGAATTCTCAACACACAAAAACTGTGAGATTAATGTTTGATGTTTTAACTTTGTAATGGTCTCAAGTGTGTCCCTCAAAATTCATATGTGATATTTGGAGATAGAGCTTTTAAGGGGTAATTATGGTTAAACAAGGATGTTAGATGTGGTCCTAATCCAATATGACTGGTGTCACTATAAAAAAGAAGAGAGCCTTGGCTGGTTTGGCTCAGCAGTTAGGGCGTCAGCTCTCAGACCAAAGAGTCTTGGGTTCAATTTCAGCCAAGGGCATGTAACTTGGTTGCAGTTTGTCCCTGGCTCCGGGGGCCATGAGGATGACAACCAATTGATGTGTCTCTCTCACATCGTTGTTTCTCTCTCTCTCTCTCTTTCTCCCTCCCTCCCTCCCACTCTAGCTGAAGATAAATGGAAAAATATCCTCAGGTATAAATTTTTAAAAATAAAAAAGAGGAAGAGACACCAGGGATACATGCACACATAGAGAAAAGGCCACTGAGGGCAGCGAAACGGTGGCCATCTGCAAGCCAAGGAGAGAGGCCTCAAGAGAAACCACACCTGCCAATATATTTCTTGACCTTAGACTTTCAGCCTCCATAACTGTGAAAAAGTAAATGTCTGTCGTTTAAGTCACTCAGTCTGTGGTGTTTTGTATATGTGACATAACTAAAGACACATCTGCCTTAAAAATTGCACATGCCTGGCCAGTGTGGCTCAGTGGTGGAACATTGACCCAGGCACAAAGAGGTTGCCAGTTCAATTCCCAGTCAGGGAACATGCCCAGGTTGTCGGCCAAATCCCCAGTGGGGGACATGCAGGAGAACAGCCAATCTATCTTTCTATCTCTCTCTCTCTCCCTTCTTTTCTCTCTAAAATCAATAAAGAAAAAAAATTTTTTTAAGTTTTAAAAAAAATTGTCACATAGTTTCTCTATTCAATAAAATTTGGAGGCTGAGTCCTTAAATTGTGCTAAAAGCATTGTTACTATTCATAATAACAGCTAATGTTCACTGAGTGCTTTTACAATGTGCCAGCCACTGTGCTAATGAGCTTAATGTGGATTATCTCACTTAATCCTGCCAACAACAGCCCTGTGAGAAAACTGATGCACAGAAAGATTAAGTAACTGGTCCAAAGACATCCAGCTGGTAAATCATCAAGTGGGATTTAAACCACTTCAAATCTCTGAATCCAGAACTCTACTGCCTCTTGGGTTTCTAGCCACTTCACTAATGATATTCCCTTGTTACTTAGCTACTGGCATGAAGATTTCACAGGTTACCTCATCTTTCTGTTGCAAGGACCTAGATAAGGACACTTACTTATCTAGGTCTTCTCTGGACCAATCTATTTATGTCTTGGAGGGATTCTTTTGCCAGTGTGTCATTACTCACCCAGGAAGTACTCCATAAATGTTTACTGAATGAATGGATTCAGTTTTGAATTTGTTAAAAATAAATGATTTTTATATACCCATTGAAGAATAAGAAAGAGATTGTCTTAAAATCATCTCGCAGGAGCTCACATGACAACCTTGTGCATTCCATGTTGGTGACTCAGGAAGAAGAAATCATGGCGAGAACGGTGTGGGAAGGTGGGAGGTGGAAGAAGGGGAGGATTACTCTGTAAGAAAAGAGGGCAAGGTGCTTCACTCTACTCGATGAATCTCTTTGGATATACACTTCCACCTTAGTCTATAACGAATGGTCAAAAATCCAAGGGGAAGAGAGACTATGATTTGAGGAGACCCTCAGAGTGATTCTTCAAAAAATCTTGTCAACATTCCACTTTCAATTCTAAAATACACAGATCTTGGAGAAAGTGACACTGGAAATTACCTAGGTCACCTTATTGACTTCCCAGAATAGTGCCTATGGTTGTGGTTTTTTGAAGAGCAGTATTTTACACAACAGTGGTCCCAGGGGTAAAAAGCACTGTCTGTGTCCCCAGAGGCCAGCCAGGTAGTCACAGGCACAGGAAAGCTCAGTGCAACAAGGGCCAGGCTGAATGCCCTGCAATGGACCAAAGCAGCCGCCAGATGGTACTCACGGATTCGGAAGGCGGTGGACTTCCGGCCTCCGCCCCCCCTGGCCACTCCGCAAGATCTCAGCAGGGTGCATTTGCCTACATGGCCGCTTCTGTGCAGCGACTCCACCTGCGGGGTCCAGAGTCGTACTGGCTTTGAATTGTTTCAGGCCCTGGCACAGATCTGTAGGAGCCTCGCAGCGCGCCCTCACCCCCACGGCCCGCGCAGAGGGCGATGACCCGGGCGGGGAGGTGCGCGCGGAAGGCCAGCTATAGGCTGCGGCGCGGGGCGGGAGGAGGTGCGGCCTCGGCCTTTGCTGAGACCAGGGCACGTGGGACGCCGGTTCTGGAGAGCGAGCGGACTGTCCCTGGGGGGGTGGACTTCTTAGTCGTCCCCCAGCACCAGGCCCGTTGGGGATCCCGACTCTCAGGACGCCTCCAGCCAGGGAGTTTCCTCCGCGCTTTCCGAGCCCTGCACTGGTGAACCAAAACTGCAAGGGAATCCACCAAGGTGACGTTTCCAGAGTGAGGAGGCAGCCCTGGACGCAGCTATCTGGTTGTTCTAGTCTTCACCTGCTGAAGGAGGTGCTGGGTACTTGGGTATCAGAGATGAATTACGCACGGTTCATCACCGCCGCGAGCGCATCAAGAAGGCCTTCCCCCATCCGAATCCTCAGTGAGTGCTTGGGCAGCGTCCCTCCTGGGCTGGTGTGTGTGTGTGGGGGGGGGGGGGGGTGGTCCTCACAGTCTCTAAGGGTGGTACCTACAGTCACCTTGGTTGCAGTCATTCAAAAGCTCACTGTGAGCCAGGCTCAGTATGCAGATGTGAACTCGGGCTGTAAGTGAAGGCGGGAAAGGAGTAGCAACAGAGAGAGCAACGGGCTGTTGTGGGTACCTGCCTTGGAAGAGAGAAGGCAGAGGGCTGTGTAGAAAGGCTCTTCCCTGACCCTAAGTAGGGGATAGACTCTGCCTGCAACCTCACAGGGAGTAGGGAGGGGCTGCTAAATGGGAGAGAAAGGGGTGAACCATGAGGCTTGACAGGCAAGGAGGGCTAAAGTGAGCAGGGTTTTCTGTTACTGTGGCCCTTTGCTTATCTAGATAATCCTGATCCCTCTGCCTTCTTAGTTGGACATCTCCATTCCTTAGTTCCTTCTCCAGTGAGGTAGGTCCAGATGAAGATATTTTGTGTTTATTTTAGATTAGCATCCTATCACTAGAAATTGTTGAACTTGACAGTTTTATTGAGTACAATGCAACATACTGAACTCTCGCTGTTCAGGAAAGTTTTCCATGAAAGCGTTTCTTCTTCTCTGCCTTTTTTTTTTTTTTTTTTGTAGCGGAGATATTTAGCAGGGCACCAAAATCAGTCATCTCCTTAGCTACTGGATCACCAAATCCGAACATGTTCCCTTTTAAGACTGCTGTCATTACCATAGAAAATGGAAAGACCATCCAATTTGATGAAGACATAATGAAGAGAGCACTTCAGTATTCCCAAAGTGCTGGGTAACTATAGATAATATAATTATGTTGGCTCATTCTCATGAGCAGTATTCTAAGGGCTGCTGATAAGGTGACTTTTCCTTTAACTGGGTATTCAACAGCTAGGAAGTTTGTGGGAGAGGTTTCAAAGAAGAATTAACAGCAACAGGATATTGAATCCTGAACACTCCTCAGGGACTTCTCACCCTTACAAGACTAGGAGAGTCCAGTTCTGGAAGGAAGTACTATATTGACCTGAGACTGAGAAAAAGGAGAAGATAGCCAGGCAAAGAAGGATGTTCGAAGGGAAGAAAGGGATGTTTCAGGAAGCAGCAATGTTAAGTCCAGGGGCGATTTTGAAGAATTATGTTCCCTTCCCAGCTATGCAAATATGGTGCCCTCAATTCAAATGTCTTTCATTCTTAAAGGCAAGCTAGGATGCATATTAAGATTTTCCTTAGCTGATCTTCTAATGATAAAGGATAATTGATAGAGTGCCCATAAATTATACTTTATTAAAGCCTTCTTTGTTCTGTGGTGGAAAACTATTTTGAAATATAGTATAGGTTATGTATATATGAATTATATGTAGTATATACATAGGTCTTTCCTTCCATGACACAAAGAATTTGGAGAACCTGAACTTTTAGGTAGCTTATAGAAATTATTCTACAAAGAACAAAGAATTGATTATTAAATGAGTGCTCTATTGAAAAATAAAGACTTGATTTTTAGACTAAGAAAGGTATAGATTCAAATATCAGCTCATTTATTCACTGGCTGATTGACTTTGTGTGACTTTCTTAATCTCTAAGTCTGTTGCTTTGTCTTGAAATGGGGATATTAATATTGGCAAAAAAAAGTGTTTGATGAATTCAAAAATGAATGTGTATAGCTACCATTTAATTCCTCTCTAATATTATGATATTTACTACTATAAATTTGAAAATATGATATTTACTACTATAAATTTTATGCTTTAGCATCCCAGAGCTGCTATCCTGGCTAAAACAGTTACAAGTAAAGTTGCACAATCCTCCCACCCTTCATTATCCACCCAGCCAAGGACAAATGGATATATGTGTCACAACTGGCAGCCAAGAAGGTCTTTGTAAGGTAAGACAAAAAGGAAAGGGTACCCCACATTGACAATCAAATATGTTCATAAATACAGTCATCTCTCGCTGATAAAGACAATCATGTTTTGTGAATTACTGGTAGTCTTTCTTATCTTTACCCAGAATTACAAACACCCCCATCGACCTGCTTTTTCTTACATATAGATCCCATAGGCAGTGACACAGAGCTATGAGTCATTCAAACAGGATTCCCATTAAAAAGGTACCCAACCAACCCTGACCAGAAGCTTTAGTGAACACTGCTTAATTTCATCTGGCTTAGAGATTCAGGTTACATTTGGTTTTATGTTATTTTAATTATGAAACTTCAATATAATTTTAAAATTTTTTAGAGGGCATATCCTGATAGTCTTCAGGTGGAATGTGATTCCTTTGCATGTCTGCTTATGTAATCCTCTGTGCTCACCCCTGCTTGTCTCTGGTCTCCCTCCCTCTTGGGTGTGCTTCTCCAGGTCTATGTATGTGTGTGTATCTCTGACTTTTCTCTGGGTTCTCTCTCTCTCTCTCTCTCTCTCTCTCTCTCTCTCTCTCTCAATTCATCTGCCTCTCATGTAGGTTCCAGGAACTTCACAGATAAAGAGACTGTATCTATGGTTCTCAATTTCATCTATTTTTTCTTTTCTCTTTCAAGACTAATTAACCCTGAGTAGGGATTCTCTATTCATATTCAGTCTTCACCTGTAGATTAAAAGATGACTCATACTTATCTTAAATCAGAGTACCTTTCTTTTTCTTTCTTCTTTTATATGTAAATGTGGCAGCTATAATCTTGTTAGCTCTAAGGCATTTTAGTAACATTATTATTACAAAATAAGTGAAGGAATAAAAATCTTTATCAGTTTTCCTCTATATTTTTTATTTCCTTAAGAAAAATAAAATTAGCCGTTTGAGTTTTTACCTGCAGAGAAGCATTTGTAATGTCATAGACTAATATAAAAGAGTTCTTTTCCATGAAATTCTTTTCTTAGGAAGGTATGCTATGAACTTTTTTCCAGAAAGATACTCAAGACTATTTCTTCTTCAGCTGTCACAGCATCAGTCATGTCAGAGAAGGAAGATGACATAGCTGTCCAACCACATCAGTAACTCGCTCACTGACAGGCGAGCTTACTACAGAGGCCTCAGGGGGACTCTGGTTTACTCTCTCTCCCACTTTGTTCTCCAGGAGAGATATTACTGTAGGCGACTGTATGACCTACATCTATTCAAAAGTGTGGCCAGAAAATAAACAGCCCTCCTCCTCATTCAGGATAATCAACATTCTCATGTCCCCTCATTGACATGGAAAATACATGCAATTATGTTTTCATTTGGTCTCTCGATAATGCACATGCCACCCAGGTAACTTGTTGGGTCCTGGATGTTATGTGAAACCTGAATTGATTGAAAACTTTTCAGAGAAGGATACCCTTTGTCGTAAAATGCAAAAGCTCATAAGGAAAGGGTAATGGAACATCTTAGACCAAATCCATAAACCAAAGTTCCATCTTCTGTCTCCATCAGAAACAGCCATGCTGTTTGTCGAGAGATGTAGCTTGTTAACATGATAGGAAGGAGAGGCTTGAACTGGGGATTGTAAAACAACACATGGCGAGAAAGGATGGTTCTCTGACTTATGTAAGATTTACTCATAATAGACTCCTTTGGATAGGCCAGAAGGATCTATTGTCTGGCTCTGTTGATGTCAGTAGGCATCATGTTATCTGCAAAATCTCCTAAGGTTTGTCAATCTATGTCTAACATGACCTCCCCCATCCTTTTGCATCCCTGTCCTCCTCTGGTGCTCAGCACCACGTGGAGCAGCTCCCTCTGCCCACCTGCCCAGTCTCCGTGGCCCTGTCTGCATCACAGCCATTGTTCATTGCAGTTCCTCGGGGCTCAGGCTTCAGACCTCTGCTCCCCTTCATCTGTGCATTCTCCCTGGGTACTTCCATTCACACCCATGTGGTCAGTCATATGTTAGTAACTCCCAAGGTCCTTCCAAGTCCATTTGTCCATCTGTCTACCTGACATCATCACAATATGTTTTGAAGGCACCTCAAACCAAAACACACTTGTCAGGCATGGACAACCTTCTGGGTCTGCTTTTCAGTGAATGACACCACTCTGACCATCGATCCAGTTCCATAGGCAGAAAGCTGGGAGTCATTCTTGATACCTCCTCTTTCTCACGCCCCTATAGTCCATAATAATGTTCTGTTGGTTTTGATTTCCAAAACACCTCTCAGTTCTTCTCTCCAATTCCACCGTCATTAACCTAGTTCAGACTACCCTTATCTGTCCAAATAATTGTAAAAACTTCCCAAACTTTCCACATGTATTCTCATTCCTCTGTAATTCTTTCATACTATAGCCAGAATCATTTTCTCAAAATGCATATCTGATCATGCGATTCCCTCTTCCTACACTCTCCTTAAAACTCTGACAGGCCTCACTTGGCCCAGTGCCTGCCTGGTCTGGTTTCCACCCACTTTGTCTCATCCCATTTTATCCTCCTCCTTACACTCTGCTTCAAGCCACAGAACTCCTTCAGCTTCTGAACATGTACCTATTGTCACCCCTACCACAGCTCATCATTTCTCAGGAAGACCTTCTCTGCATTCCCGCGTTTCCTGCACACCAAGTCCTCCCGTGTTGAGCTCTTATAATATTATTGTGCATCTATACTTTAAAGCGTTCATCACCGTTTTAAAATATACATTTTTTTAAATTATTTAATTAAGATTTAGTTTTCCTGGTGGACCAGTACCTCAATGAGGGTAAAAACTCTGTCATGATGTTCATCATTTTATCACCATATCTTATACGAAACTGGCTCATAGTAAATATTTAATACATTTTCAAAGAAGGAATAAAAGATAAAATGAATTTTGGGAGCCACACCAGTTATGTTATTTTTGATCCAACCCTAGAGCAGAGGTTGGCTACGATGGCTTGAGAGACAATCCAGCCTTCATCTGATTTTGTAAGTAGATTTCTATTGGAACTCAGTCACACGCATCGGTTTACATATTGTCTGTGGCTCTTACAGAGTATTTTCCACCTCCTGCTCCATAATCCTAGTGAGCTGAAACTAAAAAATGGGGCACAGGGGTTCTAAGAATGGGAACAATACTATCCAAGCTAACCTATGCTTCTTTCGTTAGGTGTTTGAAATGCTCATTAATCGTGGAGATAACATCCTCTTAAATGAACCTGTTTATTCGGGAACACTTGAAGCTGTGAGTATATATTTCTACAAAAGGCAGCTCTCTTTCTTACAAGAAATAAGAAGAAACCATTGCCCCTTTGGAAGGATCTGTACTCTGAAATATAAAATAGCATCTTTCACCTGTAAACAGGAGATTCTTAAATGATATTGCAAACTTTGTTAAATATATCCTTTATACATTTCCTTTTACCAAATGTAAGTGAATGGTTGCTAAAATTAGGTTGGGCAAAATGATGTCCAGTTTTCTGAATATTTCAGTTGAAATGCGATTTAATTAAAAACATTTTTTTTCATTACTATCTTTAATTAACATACGCCTAAATATAATCATGTTGTATGTCAGTTTACTGTAACTATAAACTAATATGGCATAATTAGGTATTTGAAATTTCTACTCCAATGTTAAATTAATGGGACTATAATAACCAGAAAGAGGAAGCTGATCATCTGGCCCTGCTGTGCACTGGTCAGAAAACACCACGGAGAATGAGGTTTTTTGGGGGCACAATACTTTAGGATACATATGTATACAAACTGGAGGAGTCAGAACAAAGTAGTCAGAGTGAATAGGAAACTGGAAACCATACCATACGATGAATGGTTTCAGAAACTGTGTCTGTTTTCCCCAAAAACCAAAGACTCAAAAACATGAGAATTGTCCTCAAATACGTAAAAGTTAGTCATGTGACAGAGGAACTAGATTTGTTTATGCATGTCCCTAGAATCCTTCCTCTGGAAATTGACAGGATATTTTTGAAAGATAATAGAATCTGGTCCAAGGCAACAAGAAAATTCAAATATACAACCCAAACTCTCTGGATATAGGGCTGAGTGCAGGCTATATGTTTAAGGGTAAAAAGGGTCACCTCCTCACTATAAGAAAAGATCAGTGAGCCCTGGCCAGTTTGGCTCAGTGGTTGGAGCGTCAGCCTGCGGTACAGAGAGACCGGGGTTTGATTCCCGCTAAGGGCCCGTACCTCGGTTGCAGTTTTTCCCCGGCCCTGGTTGGTCGTGCGGGTGGCAGCCACTCGATGTGTCCCTTCACATCGATGTTTCTCTCTCTCTCTCTTCCTCTCTCTCCCTCCCGCTCTATCTGAACAAAAAATGGAAGAATGTCCTCGGGTGAGGATAAAAAAAGAAAAATCAGTGACACATTTTGAATTTTCTTTTTTTTTTTTACTTTATTGATTTTAAGGGAGAGGGGCAGAGAGAGAAACATTAATGAGAGAGAACACTGATGGCCACCTCCTACATGACCCCCACTGGGGATTGGGCCCACAACCCAGGCATATGCCCTAACCGGCAATTGAACCAGTGACCTCTTGGTGCTGAACCACTGAGCCACACTGGCTGACCCAGTGACACATTTTGTAATGAGGTCTGAATCTTGGGCTTTCTTTCTTTCTGTGTGCTCAACAGCTGCACCCACTGGGCTGCAACATGATTAATGTTTCCAGTGACGAGTATGGGATGATTCCAGACGCCCTCAAAGAAATACTTTCCAGATGGAAACCAGAAGATTCAAAAAACCCCAAGAAAAACACCCCCAAATTTCTCTATACTGTCCCCAGTGGCAACAACCCTGCCGGAACCTCATTAACAAGTGACCGCAAGAAGGAGATCTATGAGGTATTTTAAAAGAATGTGTTGTGTGATTGTTTTCTTGTTTCTTTTTTACTTTTTTGAAAAGTACTATGCAAGTTTCCTTTCTTTTTTTTTTGGTTCAGACAGTGAGAGGGAGAGAGAGAGAGAGAAACATTGACGTGAAAGGGACACATCGAGTGGCTGCCACCCACACGACCTAACCAGGGCCAGGGACAAACTGCAACCGAGGTACATGCCCTTAGCGGGAACTGAACCCGGGTCTCTCTGGACCACATGCCGATGCTCTAACCACTGAGCACACCAGCCAGGGTGCAAGTTTTCTTTCCTATTAGCCTCTTGCTTTCAAGAAAGATAATTTTTAATATGAGGAGGTCATCTGTGCCAAGGGTGCTAATAAATTGAAACACAAGAGATGACTACATCCTTTGTTTACTATAAGGTTTTTTTCTGCCTTTAGTTGATAGTTCCAAAAAAGAACTTGCATTCTTGGCCTGATGTTAAATTTTATGAGGTTATTTAATATTTGACCTCAATTTTTTATTTTTCTTATTTTGTATTTGTATTTTCAACTTGTCTCTGTTATTTGTTGTCATTTCAATTTACAAAGAAATCCTTTAAAAAAAAGAGGCATGTTCCTTTGTAAAGTCTATTTTAGGGACCCAACAATGATACCTAAGCTTTTTACCATAAACACTTCTTAAAAGTATCAAGCAAATGTGGAGCTATACAGAAATATTTGAAGAATAAGAGAATGTGCCCCTTTTGTAAAGTCTTTTTTATGGACCTAACTGATTCCCTAGCCTTTCACTACAAATCGTTTTTCAAAATAAGTACCAAGCCTATGTTACAATAATATAGAATGTAATTATTACAGTGGAAACATAAGATTTCAAAGTTTCTTTTAATACACACATACATAATCAAAATATTGTCATATTCTTATTTTTCACACTCTCCTGGCTCTGTCCTGATTTTCTCTTCTTTACATACTCTTCCTAGACACTCTCATCCATTTCTATGCCTGTAAGTTGCATTCTGTAAAGGAAATGCCTGAACTCCAGACTTCTCTATCCAACTTCTGTATCCCGCATCCCACATGCATGTGTAACAGGCATTTCACAGCTAACATGGCTCCACAGAACTCTTGGTTTTCTCCAACCACACCCCAGACCTCTCATCCACAACCCTTCAGATTCTTCATCTCCATACACTGTGCCAGCATGACCCATCACCTCCTCTTCCTCTCTCCTCGCCCACACACCACATCCAGTCCATTCTATGGGCTTGACCGACAAATGTATCCAAATCCATCCATTTCCCTCCACTTCCACTGCCATCACCATCTGCTCAGACACCACCTTCTTCCCCTGCTGGTCTAGTAGGACGTTCCTCACTGGACCCCTTGCTGCCCTCCACTCTGGACCTCTCACCATTCTTCACACAGCAGCCGCTCCTGCCCTTCCCCTGCTGGAACGAATGTGACGATAGTCTCATGGTCCTCCTGTCCACAGTCCTCCAGCGGCTTCCCCTGGCCGTTAAAATAAAATCCAAGAGCTAGGTGACCTGGTCGGCTGTTCTTGAGCTATCTGTATTATCATGGTTGTTGCAGCCCACTGGCCTTCTCTCTAACCCTTAAATATGCCAGCTTTCTGTATCACCCAAGGGCCTCTGCTCTTGCTCATCCTTCAGTCTAGAAGCTTCTTCCCTGATTTTGCACAACTGCCTCTTTCCTGTAATTCAGAGACTTGGCGTTACCTTGTCAGGAAGGGCTTCCCAGTGAAGTAGCTACTCTGCTTCTCTCTCTCTCTCTCTCTCTCTCTCTCTCTCTCTCTCTCTCTCCTCTCCCCCCTCTCCCTGTCTCAAACATCACCCTGTTCAGTGTTCTCCCTAGCCCCAAGTCCCTCATCCGATATATCTTCTGTGCATTATCCATTGGCTTGTGTGCATTCCGTCTTTCCACTGGAATGTAAGTTCCATGAGAACCAGAGCCTTTAGAGCCCGTCTCATCATCTTCATTTCCTAGACAACCGGCACTCAGGGCTTCTTGAATGAATGAGCACAAAGAATTATGACTCCAAATGCTTTTCATATTAGATAGTTCTTAAGAATTAAATGTACTGCTTTATCCTCTTTCAGCTCGCAAGGAAATACGATTTCCTCATAATAGAAGATGATCCTTACTATTTTCTCCAGTTCAACAAGGTAAGTGACGGTGTGAACTTATGTCACCATTAGAAGATCAATTATTGAAAGTTATGTCCCTGCATTTGATATTAGCCTGGCTGCAAATCCACTTTTATGTTGGAATTTTTTTAAATAATTGTTAATTTGCTACCACTTTAACTTTTAGTTTTATTATGGAATTAGTACTTTTTATTTCTGGTATCACAGCTCTTTCTAGAAATTACTTACCTTAAAAATACTAGCTGGTCCCAGCCGCTATGGCTCAGTGGTTGAGCATTGACCCATGCACCAAGAGATCATTGGTTTGATTCCCAGTCAGGGCACATACTCAGGCTGTGGGCCCAATCGCCAGTGGGGGTCGTGAAGGAAGTGGCCAGTCGATTTTCTTTCTCATTGATGTTTCTATCTCACTATCCTTTCTTCTCTCTCTAGAGTCAATAAAGAAAAAAAAAAAATAGTAGCTGGCTCTCTGTACCGTATATTTGAACAAACAGAAAGTTGGGGCTAATGATCTTGAACTTCAGATCCTAGTGCGTATAGCTCCTTAATCATGGTCCTGGGGGTCTAAGCAGTCTTCCTCTTGGGTGTGAGCTACTGTCTCTTGGCAGCGGCAGACTGGCATGAGGTCTGAGAAGGACTGGAAGGATTGCAAAGCTGTGTTCAGCTGAAAGAGGAGGAGGGCTGTACTCAGTGAGTGATGTCCATTAGGACATAGGTAAGGCGTTATTGGCAGCCCGGGACACGTTGGCTCCCTGAGGTGAAGGTCCTGGATTGCACCTGCAGAAGAATGAAATTATAGAGTCCTTCTCACCATATACATGTGCCACTTTTCAAAATCAAAAACTTTTATTGCTCTCAAGGCTGCAGAGAACATATACTTGGGTATGGTTCCTCCCTGAAAACTACAGGAAAGAAAAACACTTGATTTTTCCATCTGTATTGTCTGAATGACTATCATGTCTGCCTACCACATCCCACTCTCAAAATGCATCTACTTCTATGTAAATACTGAAGTCAGTGTTTCGTGTTCACTACATTTCTCTCCTTCGGTCTCATCATTGGATCTTTCCAGTTCTAAGAGTCAGTCAGCTTCTCTCTGTAGACAGTCCTGAAGGCTGCTGGTCCCCTGTGTCCCCTGTGCTTATAGCTTATCCAAACTAGTTTTTCTTTCTTCCTTTTTTCCTTTAAATGCATTTTATTCAACAATCATGCCAGTCGGGCATCGTGGGGACCTTACTGGAATTCAGGACCTTGGTTCTCAGCAAGGCCCATATTTTTCCCTCTAAATCTGTTCAGCTTGGACTTCAACCCTTGGGACAAGGGAGGGCCCGCAGTTCATAATAATGGCATCTTCAGTATATGATTAAACCCTTGAGTGTGTGTGTTGGGAGAAAAATCATGAAGACAGGGAAATACTAATAAAAGAACATGCAGCTCTGCTTTTATTCCATTTTAAAGGGTTGACATAAAGGAAAAAGATGGTTGCGTTACTGTTATCCGAATCCATGCCCTTTCCCGTCTCAACACAAAGTGATCACAGGATCCCTAACAGAGTTCTCAAACCAATGGTGTTTATCTTTTCCATGTCAAGCCCTGGGCACCGACATTTCTTTCCATGGACACTGATGGCCGTGTTATCAGAGCTGACTCTTTTTCAAAAATCCTGTCCTCTGGGTAAGACCCTGCGTCTCTAACTTAAGGCTGGATCTAGCCGAGACAGAAATTATGCCTGGCGTTATTTTGTCAGAAGCTTTTAGTCCAAGCAACTATTCTCATTTAAGATGCTTATATTCTACTTACCTTAAAATACCAGTTAAAGAATTAATAGGAATATAAACCTTTTCTCTCTGTCCATCTCTTGTCATCAAAGGAACCTGGGCATTGATTTAAAGTTGTCGGGGTACTGGTCAGGTTTTTGGTTTCATATATGAAAGAGCACATTTGAAAATACTTGGTCAGACTTGCATTATATTTTAAATGTACACTTAAGTTTAAATTTGAATTTTAAATAAGAAGTCGTTAGTTATATTAGACTGTTTTAATTGTCTGGGTCCATTTGCCCCCTGGTCACAACTCTCTTCCTAATGAAATCAGGAAACTGACATGTATTCGTTGTTAATACAGAATGGTATTGTGCCTTTTCTCTTTTCTGTGCAGGTTGAGAATAGGGTTTATAACTGGTCCAAAACCCTTGATAGAGAGAGTTGTTTTACACACACAAGTCTCAACATTGCACCCCAGCACTTTTACACAGGTAAGGACAACTTAGGAAATAGAAAAAGAAATTTAATTCGATAAGAATAGAAAATAGATGTTGACAAATGAGATTGAGTTAAGGGGGCAGGGAGGGAAATCACCAATATGGAATCTCTAGTTCCAGCATGTACTGAATCAGCAAACCGGGCACCGCAGACGTTTACTCCATTGGACACATGAGAATCGAATTAGCCTGCTGTTATTTTGTGGCATAGACTAACCTCCTTCAGAGTCAGGTTGTCTTATTCCTCTGGTGTCCCTAGCATCTAGCCCAGAAACTCCATTAAAAGTGTTGAATTGAACATAATGGAACTGGGCTGGATGAAGTCATGTACCTTGGGCTTCTCTGTCTTAAAGTCTGTAAGGAGAACAGTTGGGAACCTGCTCAGTGACTTATCACCTTCACTGCACATGTACTGACCTCTCTGTCCTGAAGACACTCATTGGTGTGTACTTTAATGAAAATAAGGTTCATTTTAGAGAACGCATAAATTTTCCTCACAAGCTTTGAGAAATTATTGGATCCATCTCTAATGCAACCATGAGAATTAGATTTTAAGGATAGATTTCCTACCTAAGAACTCAAAATGTAAAAAAAAGTTTATATAGAACAGGCCATTTGTTTGATATTTTATATTTCAGAAAGTGCTTTATCAAGTGTGGGGACTTTTTGTATCAAGTTTGGGGACATTTTTTTTTTCTTTTTTTTGTATGTGTCAGTTATCAACTAAACTTCACTATCAATTTATGACATTTAGAACTTCCATTTTAGATGGAAAAATCTCCAAGTATATTATATAATTTTATATATTACAACTACTTTATGTTTTTTATATTTCGAGAGGAAGTGCAGTGTGGTATTAAGGAGTGGGGCTGGGCTGGGGCTGGACAGTCTGACTCGAGTCCAGGCTCTGTGACTAGCTGTGTGACCTCAGGAAAGTCAACAACCCTTGTGCCTCATTTTCCTCCTCAGTAAAATAGAAATAATAACCTGCTTAATAATGTTATTACTAGATTAAATTAGCTAAAATATATTAACATATTACAATAGTTTCTGGCACATGGCAAGTACTATATAAGTATTTGTCATTTTTATTATCATTGTCATTGTTATTAATTAACATTTATTCTAAATCACCAACTGTATAAACCTTGGTTCAGCTTGCTATATTTTCTTATGGTGGTTTGCATGTACTCAAGAGTGATTGGCAAGAAAACACATTTTAGAGGATGAACCGTGACTGATGTTATTGTTGTACCTCTTTTAGCTAATGGTATCGCAGCTTCTTCACCAATGGGGAGAAGAGGGCTTCCTGGCTCATGTAGAGAGGTATCGTATTTCAGGTCCCATTTTTTACATGGAAATGACTCTGCTTTATAATGTTTGATTTTTAATTATTCCACAGTAAAGGAAGAAACATAGCGCTAAAAAGTTTACCACCAGACAAGTCAAATAAATAGACTCTTATTCCCTTATCAAGCATTCATTTTAATCAAGATGGAAAACAGATTTGTATAGATCCTCTGAGTTTCTGCAGTCAGTGTACTAAACACATCATTTTCATTGTGTCCTTCTTCTAGGGTTATTGATTACTATAGGAAGCAGAAGGATGCATTACTGGCAGCTGCAGACAAGTGGTTAAGTGGTGAGTGGAATTATATCCCGTCCTGTGATAAACAGCAGCACCTCCGTGAGTGGGTGATAAACACTGCACAGTATTCTTAGCAATCCTGGGGGGCAGGGGGAACAAGAGTCCAGGACTCTTCTTGTCAAGAAAATATTATCCTATAAATAAATAATCTCAGAAGTAACAGTGTGCATACCCTGACACATTTCTACCCGTCTGCTGCAAAGAATGTGTGGTTAAAACAAAACAGACCAATTAGTCTAATAATCAACCAGCAATAAGTTACTTAAAGCTCAATAATATCTATACTCAAAAATGTTTAGAGTTATTTCAAAGTTTTCCTCTAACTGGAAAAAGAATCATGAAATAAACAACATATTCCTTTTCTAACTAGATTATATAAAGACAAAATACTACTACAATCTACAGAGGACTTCTCATCACAAATGATTTGCCTTTTAATCACTAACCTCAATTATCTATCTAATACTATGTATTGTTAATTAGATTGCAGGATCGTTTAAGTTTAATTTTTTATTAAAAATGAGAAAGTAAAATGAATTACATGGCTTTAATTATATCATTAAATATGCCTTTAGTATGAATACTCGTAAGTGAAAAATATAAATTCTTTAATTATGTCACACCTTGTTTCCTATGAAGTATTGGTAAACATAGAATCATCTTTTTGATAAAGAATACTATTCTACCATTTTGTACGGCAGAGAAAAGGCTTTAATCAACAGCAACATTTTTTAAAAGATACTAATTAAAATCAAAGTAATTGTCCTTCCTTCTTGATTTCTCTATCCTAATACTGTATGAAGCACAAAGCCTCCAAATGCACTTGCAATTCCTGATTTTAAGTACTTCTTTTCATGATCAATTACATTGTGATGAAAACGTTAATCCAGTGGACTTCTGAGCTGTTACGTAAATGAGAGGACTTGTGGAAACACTGGAAGACTCTAGAAAGAGTTGAAGAAACCTCTTCTAAAATTTAACATATTTGGCTCCGGTATGGTTCTAACTAAAGGAAGTGGACATAGGCACTAGCTTTCTTGCACCGCCCTAAGACTGACTAAAATTATAAATATGCACACATGAGTCTCCCTCCCCCCTTAACCCCCTCTCACTCACTTTAAAAAAAAAAAATGTTTCACTGATTTGAAAGAGAGATTGATTGATTTGTTGTTTCTCTTATTTCTGCATTCATTGCTTGATTCTTATATGTGCCCTGACCGGGAAGCATCTGGATGACGCTCTAATCAACAGAGCTACCTGACCAGGGCTCACTCACTTTTTGAAATAAAACTCAGAACATCAATTGTCAGGACTCACAAAATTATATTTTTTAAATGCTATCACTAAGGAAACTTGTATGGGAATCCTAGTTTACAGTTACTACAATTATACCATTAAATGTTATATGTGACTGCAAATAAAGCTTCAGGAGATTTAGTCCCTCCTTTTATTTATAGGTTTGGCAGAATGGCATGCTCCTACTGCTGGAATGTTTGTATGGATCAAAATTAAGGGCATTTCTGATGTAAAAAAACTGATTGAAGAAAAAGCCATTAAGAAAGAGGTAAAAAGGCAGAAAAAGTTATATTTTTCTTTAACAGAATTTCTTACTTAAATAAAAATGGAGAAAGATGTTTGTCATTGCTCACCACCCCAACTCCTAATGTTTTAATATCAGATGTTATCTCATTAAAATCAATAGATTTTTGGGTAAAAATAAATTATTCTTCTGTTCTAAATTAATGGAAATATACTCCTTCATCTTTGCTACTGGTTGGTTTGGGGGCTGACAACACAGTCCCAGGAGCCAAACTCCTTGGGTTCGAATCCCAGCTCCATCCTTGACTGGATGTGTGGCTTTGGGCAAGTTACCCTCCCTGAGTTTTATCTGTAAAATAGTAGTAGTGAGACTTTCTCTCTCCTAAGGTTGTTATGATTATTAAGTTAATATGCATAAAGCACTTAGACTAGTAAATGCTCAATAGGTATTAGCCATTAATATGTAAAATAGATGGTCCCCCAACCCCCTATATTGAAAGTAAAGCATAGTCATGTTAGCAAACTTAGAAAATGAACAAAAAAAAATGAAAAACTGTTAAATATCCCAAAATTTCATCACCAAGGTTTTATAATCATTTGCGGTGTATTTTCTTGAAGAGCTTGTATATAGATGGTATTTTGGCTGTGCAATTATTTCACATGGTGAAAATTACACAGAAAAGTTTCTGTCCTGCCGTTTTTACTTCAAATTAGCCCATGATGATTTATTCTATGTTCTTTTATTTACCTTTCATACTTAAATCATAAGTATATTTAGATTTCATTTGGGAGCATTGATTAAGCTCAGAAATCTAAATATTTTTCTATGTAGCTTCCAGTTTACCAAATAACTTATCCTTTCACCCTTAATTAATTCTCTTGTCACATTTGTTAGTCTTTTCTAAACACAATGATCTGTTTCTAGTATCTATTTTGTCTTGAAGCAATAGAAATGATTGTACAAAGGAACAGATTGTATTGATGCTGGCAAAGTACCCTGCTAGTGCCTAAGACATGAAGCCGTCTAAAGATTAGACCTGGTAACAGGCCGGGCTTTAGCCCCACTCCCTTGGAAACTCATTCATCCTCTAACCATCTTACTGGAAGGCAGGACTCATGCTTTATGAATTGTTCTAATCCTAGTAACAGCAAGAGTAGTACTTAGTAAATATTAACTGGTTTATTTCAAAGACAACTTTAGTATAATCAATTTTATATTGTCTTTGCTTTTCTATCAATGCCATTACCTTTAAGAACATTTGATAAGTGGCTATTTGTACATATCTCTGAGCAACATGTTTAGGATGTACACTTCACATTAATGTAGTTGTTTTCAGTCCTTCCATATATCCTCTTGCATGTACCTTTATTTTTCTAAATGATCTGCACCTTCGTCACCACTGCCTTAGCCCAGACTATAGTCGTCTTGCAAAGAGATTTTTACCACTCACTCCTCCTTCCCTTAACAGCATCCTGCTTCTAGCACATCCCAAAACTTTTCTGCTATGATGGGAAAAATGATTTTCATTTTATTCATATTAAGGACATGAAAACCTATCTTCAGCCTTGAAATCTTTTCCCCAGAGTGCCCCTCTTCATTTCACTCCCTACTCATCTTACTTCAGCAGACGGTGCCCAGATTTGCACCCTGTGACAACAAGCAGTTACCTCATGCTTTTGAACATCATGATTATACTACATAACAATCTCGAAGATTTAACACAACCAAAGCTTATTTCTGGCTCACATACAATTTCCAAATATGTGATCTTTGGGCAGCTGTGCTCTAAGCAGTGGACAGAGATCCTGATTCCTTTTATCTTATTGCTCTTCAGTCTTTCACACATAGGTTCCACATGGCGACACAATGGAGAGCATGGTGGGTCACAGAGGAAGAATTCTATGGGTCAGGCCTAGGAGTAGCACATACCACTTCACATCCATTGGCTAGGATTCAGTCATCTATCCACGTACAATTAGAAAGAGGCCAGGAATAGGATATATTTGTATGCCCAGGAGGCAAAGGAAATGTACTTGGTAACAGTGAGCTACCTGCCACAGTGGTCGTCAAGAATCACAGTGGTTCTCACCACTGAGTCTTGACACTTACTTAACATTGTTATTCCTTCGCTTTATGTATTACATTTTTACCTTCTTTCAGTTCTTTGAGAGAGACAATTTATTCCCAACACTCTGTATCTTATCCTTAAAATAGTCTTCCCCTACTGTTTGCTTGGCCAACACCTACCTGTCTTTCAGATCCAGCTTAAAAGTCGCTTCCAAATTTTGTATCTTAAAAGTGGTATCTCATTGTTTGAATTTACATTACTTTTCTAGTTCCGTTAAACGTTCATTCATGTTTGTTACCATTTCTATTTCCTCTGTAGGCTGCCCTTTTGACCATTAAATTCTAGTGTTGTTCTTCTCAGTTTCTGTGTACTCTTTATATGTGGAGAAGAGATCGGATTTGATATATTTATTGTAAACATTTTTCTGATTTCTCTGCTTTTAGTTTTGTTGATTGTATGATATACAGAATTTGTATATAAATTTATTTTTCCCTTGTGATTTGTTTAATTGCCTTTAATCTTAAAAGTCCTTCCTCATTCTGGGATTTGATTTATCTGTATTTTCTCTCTGTTTTTCTTTAATGGTATATCGCTTGTTTCCATAAACTCTCTTAGATATTAATGGTTCCTGGAAATGCTTTCTACATCGATAGCTCAGCTCCTAGCCCTTACTTTAGAGCATCCTTCTCTTTGGCTTCTCCAGAACAAATGGATACGGTAAGTACATTATTCTCTTCAGAGCAACACTAGATTAATTCTATTGTAGGGTGGGTGTGTTCATTTTGTGAGTTATAATATGCTTTAATGTCTTTTTGAGTTTCTGAAAACAGGCATTAGTGGAAAAGTCATAAACTACCATTAAAAGACATTTTACTTTGTTGCTAGACTTCTATAGACAAATGAAGAGACTGAGTTGTAGTTTATGTTTATTGTTTTCAAGAATAGTTTCCAGGCCTACTAAACCATGTTCATTGATTACCAATATGTTATAAAGAAAATGTCTTTCCTTCCTTCACAGGATTAATATGAGCCAAAAGTACATATTGAGGCCAGCAGTCTCTCTTTCGTTGAGGAAAAAAATATCAGCAAGTCAAGGAGAATAATATTCTCAAATTAATCACAAAGACTAGCTTTAACCAAAATAGCAAGCAAAGAAACAAAGTCCTAAAAACTGTATGTCTGGGAATCCAAACAGAAGATCCATAAATTGAACAGTGCCATTAACCTTAAGATGAGTTTATATTTATCTTTGCAGATGGATTTGTCCTTTGTGTTCTTTTTTGTTTTTTTTTTAATACTTTTCTTTATTGACTTTAGAGAGAGAGTAAGAGAGAATAAGAGAAAGATAGAAGCATCGATGAGACAGAACATCGACCGGCTGCCTCCTGCATTCCCCCCACTGGGGATCATGTCCACAACCTCATGTGCCCTGACTGGAAATCGAACCAGTAACCTCTTGGTGCATGGGTTGATGCTCAACCACTAAGCCACACCTACCAGGCTGTGTGTTCTCTATTTACTTGCTTTCTCGCATCATTAAACATGCTTTTCATAAGTTATTTTTGTTTTTATATAATAGAGTTGGACAATTGAAACTATATAGCTTATATACACAAGTGAGAGATTATATGAAAAAATAAAACAATATGTAGGGTGGAGAAAATATAAAATGATGACCTGGAGGGTCACAAGAACAACAACAGAAAAATCCTGAGAATCGAATATGCTTATATCTACATCCATGATGACATTGATGGTATCCTGCCATAAAAAAACTGATGCTAAACTTGGTTTCTCACTGCCTCATCTTACCCTTAAATGGATATTCTTTGTTTGACTTTTTAAAGTTCTGACAAAGTTTTCCTAAATTGCATCCTAATTTCATTAATTCTTATCTATTTTCTATTTTAGGCTTTCCAGAGATTAGCCCAACTTATAAAAGAATCTATATGAAGACATCAAACTCTTCATAGTACTGGTGGATTTTCTGGATAAATTACTTCTGTGTTTTACCAGCAAGAAATGATCATTGGTTTAGACTTACAGATCGGGTTTCATCAGACATGTCATATCTGTAGTCATTTAAATAGACAACCTTTAAAGTGCCCTTAAGTCCACCAGATTGCCAAAATATATTTATAATCCACTTACACCTTTTGATAAATTTTCAACCTGCAAAAAATTATTTTTATCGTAAATTTTATTGTAAAGAATTCTGTAACTGCTTTATAATTTGCCATATATTTTCTTTGAAACTAATGTTTACAGTAAATTATTTTGAAAATGTAAGAAAATAATTCCAATATGGTATATAATGTAAACTTTTTCTATTTTCTTAGGAAAATTTTATGAAATCTTGGTTCAAAAATTGTTAGAATTTAACCATTATAAAGTATTTCAGTAAGAATACCACAGATATTGTTATGCTATAAAAATCCTTTAAAAATAAAATTCTGAAACAAAACATACCCAAAGGCATCAGACCTATTAATTCTAAGTGAGAAGGAGATCTCAGACTTAAAATATTTACTGTGTTGCTTCTTCATAATAGTACACAATTTACAAAAACACATGATGTAATTTGAATCTACTACAATCCTTTGAGGTATTTACGATATGCTATTTTAATGATTTTCTTTCTCACCTTTTTAAGAGGTTTGGTTTTCCCATCTGATTACTAAAGTAGTATATGCTTATCTTAAAATTTTTTAACAAGCCAGGAAATACAGGGACTAAAGTAAAACCAGCCACTCTTTGTCTCAGCCCCCAAGGATAATTGCTGTCAGCATTTACCATTCATCCTTTTAGATGTTTTTCTATGTGTATTCATGTAACGTGTAAAACAACAGGATCTCATTATGGTATTGCATCATAAACATCCTGTATTCGATTTTTATTTATTTGTTTTATTAATTTATTTATTTTTGTACAGATGTTTCTCCTTTTTCCCCCACTGATTACCCCCTCCCACTCCCACCCTACCCTGCCCCCAGCTTTGTTGTCCATGTCCATTGTTATGCACACATGCATATAAGTTCTGTGGTTTATCTCTCCTCCACCACCCCCTCTTCTGGGGATTGTCAGTCTGTACCCCACTTCCACGTCTTTGGGACTACCCCATTCCTCAGACTGTTATGTTCATTATATTCCACAAATAACTGAGATCATATGATACTTGTCTTTCTCTGTTTGGCTTGTTTCTCTTAGGATGATACTTTTCAGGTCCCTCCATGTCATCTCAAAGGATAAGAGATCTTTCTTTCTTACAGCTGCATAGTACTCCATTGCGTATATGTACCACTGCTTTTTTAACCATTTGTCAGCTGATGGACATTTGGGCTGTTTCCAAATCTTAGCTATTGTAAATAGTTCTGCTACAAACATGGGGGTACATATATTGTTTCTGATGGGTGTTTCAGGCTTCTTAGGGTATATTCCTAGAAGTGGGATCACTGGGTCAAATGGAAGTTCAATTTTTAATTTTTTGAAGTAACATCATATTGTTTTCCATAGTGGCTGCACCAGTCTGCATTCCCCCCAGCAGTGTACTAGAGTCCCTTTTTCTCTACACCCTCACCAACACTTGTTTGATGATTTGTTGATGGTGGCCATTCTGACAGGTGTGAGGTAATATCTCATTGTTGTTTTAATTTGCATCTCTCTGATGAATAGTGATGTTGAGCATTTTTCATATGTCTCTTGGCCATTTGTCCTGTTTGGAGAGGTGTCTATTTAATTCCTCTGCCCATTTTTTAATTGGGTTCTTTGTCTTCATTTTGTTGAGTTGTATGAGCACACTATATATATTGGAAATTAACCCCTTTACTGATATATCATTGGCAATTATGTTCACCCACACAGTGTGTTGTCTTTCCATTTTGATGATTGTATCTTTTGCTGTGCAGAAGCTTTTGAGTTTGATGTAGTTCGATGTGTTCATTTTCTTCTTTGTTTCTGTGGCCTTAGGTGATGTATCAGTGAAAATTCTGCTGCATATGTTGTCTGAAAATTTGTTGCCTACATTTTCTAAGAATATTTTTATGGATTCATGAGTCACAATTAAGTCTTTTATCCATTTTGAGTTTATTCTTGTGAATGGTGTAAGTTGATGGTCTAGATTGATTGATTGATTGATTGATTTTGCATGTAGCTGTCCAATTTCCCCAATACCATTTATTAAGGAGGCTGTCTTTACTCCACTGTATGCTCTTGCGACCTTTGTCAAATATTAATTGAGCATATTGCCTTGGGTTCATTTCTGGGTTCTCTGTTCTGTTCCACTGGTCTATATGCCTGTTCTTGCGCCAGTACCAGGCTGTTTTGATTACAGTGGTTTGTAGTATAATCTGAAATCTGGTAATGTGATCCCTCCAACTTTGTTCTTCTTTTTCAAGATTGCTGTGGCTATTCGAGGTCTTTTTTGGTTCCATATGAACTTTTGAAGCATTTGTTCTAGTTCTGTGAAGTATGTCGTTGGTATTTTGGTGAAGATTGCATTGAATCTATAGACGGCTTTGGGTAGTATTGACATTTTAATTATCTTCATTCTTCCAATTCATGAACAAGGTATGTGCTTCCACTTTTTTTATATATTCCTCTATTTCTTTTTTCAATGACCTGTAGTTTTCTGCGAAAAAGTCCTATATTTCTTTGGTTAAGTTTATTCCTGGGTATCTTAATTTTTTGCCATGATGGTAAATGGGATTTTTTTTTTTTTAGTTTCTCTTTCTGTCAGTTTATCATTACTGTATCAGAATGCCATCGATTTCTTGACGTTAATTTTGTAACCTGCTACTTTGCCAAATTCATTTAAGTCTAGTAAATTTTTTATTGAGTCTTTGGGGTTTTCTACATACAGTATCGTGTCATCTGCGAATAATGACAGTTTCACTTCCTCCTTTCCAGTTTGGATCCCTTTTATTTTTTCTTCCTGTCTGATTGCTGTGGCTAAGTCTTCCAGTACTATGTTACATAAGAGTGGCAAAAGTGGGCATCCTTGTCTTGTGCCTGTTCTTAAGGGAAATGTTTTTCATTTCTGCCCATTGAGTATGATGTTGGCTGTAGGTCTTTCATGTGTGGCCTTTATTATGTCGAGATATGATCCCTCTATTCCCACATTGCTGAGCATTTTTATCAGAAATGGGTGCTGGATTTTGTCGAATGCTTTTTCAGCATCTATTGATATGATCATATGATTTTTATCTTTCATTTTGTTTATGTGCTGTATCACATTTATTGATTTGTGAATATTGTACCAGTCCTGCATCCCTGGGATGAATTCCTCTCGGTCTTGGTGAATAATTTTTTTGATGTATTGCTGGATTCAATTTGCTAGTATTTTGTTCAGGATTTTGGCATCTATGTTCATCAGGGATATTGGTCTGTAGTTTTCTTTCTTTGTAGTGTCTTTTTCTGGTTTTTGAATTAGAATTATGTTAGCCTCATAAAACAAGTTTGGAAGTCTTCCTTCTTCTTGAATTTTTTTATATAGTTTGAGGAGAATGGATATTAGTTCTTCTTTGAATGTTGGTAAAATTCCCCTGTGAAGCCATCCAGGCCTGGGCTTTTGTTTGCTGGGAGAGTCTTGATTACATCAATTCTTTTGTTGTTATTGGTCTGTTCAAGTCTTCAATTTCCTTTGTTGTTATTGGTCTGTTCAAGTTTTCTATCTATTCCCGTTTCAGTTTTGGGAGACTATGTGTTTCTAGTAATTGGTCAATTTCGCTTAGATTGTCAAATTTGTTGCCATATAATTTTCATAATATTTGTTAACAATCTGTTGTATTTCTGTGGTGTCAGTTTTTATTTCTCCTCTTTCATTTCTGTTTTTGTGTATTTGAGTTCTCTCTCTTTGTTTCTTGGTGAGTCTAGCTAAGGGTCCTTCAATCTTGTTTATCATTTCAAAGAACCAGCTCTTTGTTTCATTGATCCCTTGAATTGTGTTTTTGGTCTATGTCATTTATTTCTGCTCTGATCTTTACTATTTCCTTCCTTCTACTTGCTCTGGGGTTTTCTTTTTGTTTGCTTTCTAGTTCTTAAAGTTGTGAGGTTAGATAGTCTATTAGAAATTTTCTTGCTTTGAGGTATTCCCTTAGTACTGTGAACTTCCCTCTCAGAACTACTTTCATTGCATCCCATAGATTTTGTGTTGTGTGTTCATTTTCATTGGTCTCCAGGAAGATTTTAATTCCTTCCTTGATCTCCATGGTAACCCATTCATTGTTCAATAACATGCTGTTTAGCCTCCATATGTTCATATGTCTCTGCATGTTCTTGTTGCAATTGATTTCTAGTTTCATGCCATTGTGATCTGAGAAGATGCTTGATATGATTTCAATCTCTTTGAACTTGTAGAGACTTAGTTTGTGCCCTATCTTTGAGAACGCCCCATGTGCACTTAGGAATAATGTGAATTCTGCAGTTTTGGTGTGTAATTCTCTGTGGATATCTATGAAATCCATTTGATCTAGTGCTTCATTTAGAGTATGTGTTTCCTTGTTAATTTTTTGTCTAGAGGATCTATCCAGTGATGTCAGCAGGGTGTTGAAGTCCCCTGCTATAATTGTATTGCTGTTGTTTTCTGCTTTAAAGTCCTCCAAAAGATTTTTAATATATGTTGGTACTCATATATTGGGTGCATATATGTTTACCAAGGTTATATTTCCTGTTGGATAGATCCTTTCAATATTATGTAGTGACCTTCCTTGTCTCTAATGACGGTCTTAATTTTGAAATCTATTTTATCAGATATGAGTATTGCTACCCCAGCTTTTTTTACCTTCCCATTTGCTTGGAAAATTTTTTTCCATCCCTTCACTTTCAACCTATGTGAGTCTTTTGCTGTGAGATGTGTCTCTTGTAAACAACATATATGTGAGTCATGCTTTCTTATCCAGTCAGCTACTCTGTGACTTTTTATCGGAGCATTCAAACCATTCACATTTAAGGTGAAAATTGATATGTACTTATTTATTGCCATTTTTTTTTTTTTTTTTTTAGTGTGGTTCTATTTCTCTTCCTATTTCTTCTACTAATTACAGCAGTCCTTTTAGCATTTCTTGCAGTGCTGGTTTGGTGTTAATACATTCCCTTAGCCTTTTTTTGTCTGGAAAGCTCTTTATTTGACATTCTATTTTGAATGATAGCCTTGCTGGATAGAGTAGTCTTTGAT